AATGCTGTATCTCCTGGATAAACATTAGCTCTGAGATCTGTCTGGAATTATCTGTACTGGACATATTGCTGGAGGTTTTGTGCCCTTCGGATCCTGTAAAAGCAGCAATATGTTACCATGCTGTCCTCTCCTCCCCAGAATCAAAGTGATATACAAGAAGGCTCGGAGATAAGAGACATTTTCCATTCCCAGTTTCCCATTTCCCATCATATAACTTGCTGAGGGAACAACCTGTAGACACCATTCTTCTTTCTGTCTCCCATTACCAATCTCTCCTTCTGAAAATGCTACATGGTCTGGGTGTCATGTTCATTCCACTTCTTCAGTACTGACTTTATCAAGCATACAGATCAGACATTGCTGCATGTGAAATTTGGTTGTATTTTGGTTCAAGTTCCATGTCTCCATGTCCAGTGTGTACCATATTTTTCCTCTCTCTCTCCTCCTCCATTACTCATTGCTTTGCCCCCTTGACCGGTGATTTGCACTGACAATTCATGGGGCCCCCAGGCAATAGGGGATCATGGGGCCCCTGTGCCCTCGCCCACACCCAAAAAAGCCTATGAAAAAGCCAATGAAAGGTATCAGGGGCATCTCATGGGGCCCCCTACTGACTCCAGGCCCTCAGGCAGTGCCCGAGTGCTTGAATGGTCAGTCCGCCCCTGCCCTTGACCCTCTCTCTATTTCTCTCTGTCTCATTATTTGTCTCTTCTGCTGTAGACAGGGGACAGATCCAGTCTTTTCCTCTTCCCTGCATTTCTACCTCTTCTCTCTCTTTACCCCTTCTCCATTTTACTTTATCTCTGTCTCACCTTCTATCTCCGTATCTCTCTCCTCCTTGTCCACCTCTCTTTTCCCTCTCTCTATCTCTCTCCCCCCTTGTCCATCTTTCTCTTCCCTCTCTCTATCTCTCTCCCCCTTGTCCACCTCTCTTTTCCCTCTCTCTGTTTCTCTCCACCTTGTCCATCTCTCTCTTCCCTCTCTCTATCCCTCTCTCCCTTGTCCATCTCTCTCTTCCCTCTCTCTATCCCTCTCTCCCTTGTCCACCTCTCTTTTCCCTCTCTCTATCTCTCTCCCCCTTGTCCATCTTTCTCTTCCCTCTCTCTATCTCTCCCCCCCTTGTCCATCTCTCTCTTCCCTCTCTCTGTTTCTCTCCTCCTTGTCCATCTCTCTCTTCCCTCTCTCTATCCCTCTCCCCCCTTGTCCATCTCTCTCTTCCCTCTCTTTATCTCTCTCCTCCTTGTCCATCTCTCTCTTCCCTCTCTTTATCTCTCTCCTCCTTGTCCATCTCTCTCTTCCCTCTATCTCTCTCCTCCTTGTCCATCTCTCTCTTCCCTCTCTCTGTTTCTTCTCCCCCCTTGTCCATCTCTCTCTTCCCTCTCTCTATCTCTCCCCCCCTTGTCCATCTCTCTCTTCCCTCTCTCTATCTCTCTCCCCCTTGTCCATCTCTCTCTTCCCTCTCTCTATCTCTCCCCCCTTGTCCATCTCTCTCTTCCTTCTCTATATCTCTCCCCCCTTGTCCATCTCTCTCTTTTCTTCTCTCTATCTCTCCCCCCTCATGTCCATCTCTCTCTCCTTCTCTATATCTCTCTCCCCCTTGTCCATCTCTCTCTCTCTTCCCTCTATCTCTCTCCTCCTTGTCCACCTTCTCTCTTCCTTCTCTCTATCTCTCTCCCCCTTGTCCATTCTCTCTCTTTCTTCTCTCTATCCCCCCCCCCCTCCTTGTCCATCTGTCTCTTTCTTCTCTATCTGTCTCCCCCTTGTCCATCTCTCTCTTCCCTCTCTCTATCTCTCTCCCCCCTTGTCCATCTCTCTCTTTCTTCTCTATCTGTCTCCCCTTGTCCATTTCTCTCTTCCCTCTCTTCATGTCTCTTTCTCTTCCTCTCCTATATCTTTATTTCTCTCCCTCTTCTCTATCCTCCTCTTCTCCATTTCTCTCCCTCTTCTTTATCCTCCTCTTCTCCATTTCTCTCTCTCTTTCTGAAGGCCATTCTGCTCTGCTCTTTGACACTTTTCATGGTGGATGGAGCTCCTGCATTACCCACTAGATCCTTGCGCAGGGTAATATCCCACTTCACTAGCAATGAAACCTCTTCAGATCCACTGATGGTACACAATACAAGCTCTGTTATCTTTTTCCCAACAACGTATCTTATCCTCCGCATTGGAGGGCACAGCCTATACTCAGTTGGAAATCCCAACTTGCTATTTCTGCCCCAAGGGGAGACCAGAAACCCTTGGCCTGGGGGGCAAGTACAAGTGCATTTTTGGCCACAACAATTAATTATGGTGTCAGGAATGTGCATGATACATAATGTGCCATGTTGCTGCAATTATTGGTGCTCATGGTGAAAGGTGGGTGTTTCTAATGGACATGGCTTACTGTGACACATCTTCAACATCTTCCATCATTGGTCTCCTCTGCAGCTCCTGGCATTCAGTTACGTGAGATCTCAAAACTGCAAAGGACATTTCAGGAACCTCATGCTGGCTGTCAAAGAAGTTATGCTCATTTATGGCGTGCGCATGTGGATGCACAGGCAGGTCTGCCACAGATCCTGGTGCCTGTTTCAATGTGAGGCCTGCATGGGATCACCACTGGATGGTCTTTCAGCTCATTCCCTTGTTTTGTGTGTTCCTAAAGCCTGCTTGACTCCATTCCTGACTGGGCTACATCTGACTCTTCTCTGGGTTACCCTTGCCTGTTCATGTCTGCTGTGCATACGTGTTACCAATCTCAGCCTGGACTTTTGAACATTTTTCTGCCTTATGAGTTTGTACTTTGCTGCCAGCTTGCTGCCAGTCCTCGCCTGTTTATGACCTGGACACTATTCATGATTTGGTACCTATCAGCCTGGCCATTGCTGAATCCGGCTTGTTACCTGATTCCACACCTCTGCTCATCTCACGTCCGTACTTCCAAGCTCAAATGTGCTGGTCCAACTTCCAGGCACCTGTGCTCTTCCAATGCCCTAGCAGTCCCTGTCTTCATTTCCTGGGGTTCTTAAATGGGAGTTGTGCAAGGGGCCACCCTTGTCATCTTGAGCATCATAGACAGGTAGGTGATAGTAAAGGTGGTGCTCTGCCAGGCAGATAATAGGTCCGAATGGTGAGTAGATGGGCTTAAAGTCCAGCATGTGTTACTGACTGATGTGTAGATGGTGGATTATTTTCTACTCAGGGCTACCAGCCCACCATATCTTATTAGCAATGGCCAAGGGGGTAAATGCCCTTTTGCACCCTAGCTGAGACCTTCTCTAATCAACACTCTGACTCACACTCATCTATTTCATTCTCCCCCTTGTCCATCTCTCTCCTCCTTCTCCATTTCTCTTTTTATGCCACCCTCTATCTCTCTTATCTTGCTCCCTCTCTCCCTTCCCCTTGTCCATATCTTTCTGTCTCTTCCCTTTTGTTCATCTATCTCTTTCTAACTCCTTGCTCTCCCCCTTGTCCATCTCTCACCCCCCCTCCATTTTCCTTTACTCAAGGCTATCAGCCCAAAATATCTTTTTTAGTAATGGTCAAGGTGGTAAATGCCCCTCTGCCCCCCCAGACCAGACCTCCCTTGATCAACACTTTTCTCTACCTATTTCCTTCTCCCCCTTGTCCATCTCTGTAAACCTTCTCCATTTCTCTTTCTGTCCCACCCTCTATCTCTGTATCTTGCTCCCTCTCTCCCTTCCCTTTGCCCATCACTCTCTTTCCCCCTTGTCCATCTCTATCTTTCCCACTCCTTCTCATTCTCCTTGCTCCCCCTCCTTCTTTGCTCAAGGTAATCACCCCAACATATCTTAGTAATGACCAACAGGGCAAATGCCCCTCTGCCCCACAACCCCAGACCTACCCACTCCCCTCTGCCCCCCCACCCCCCAGACCTACCCTCTCTTCTCTGCCCCCCACCCCAGACCTACCCTCTCTTCTCTGTGCCCCCACCCCAGACCTGCCCTCTCCCCTCTGCCCCACAACCCAGACCTACCCACTCCCCTCTGCCCCCCCACCCCAGACCTACCCTCTCTTCTCTGTCCCCCACCCCAGACCTGCCCTCTCTCCCTCTGTGCCCCACCACCCAGACCTGCCCTCTCTCCTCTGGCCCCCACCCCAGACCTGCCCTCTCTTCTCTGCACCCCCACACCCAGACCTGCCCTCTCATCTCTGCCCCCCCCACCCCAGACCTGTCCTCTCCCCTCTGCCCACCCACCCCAGACCTGCCTTCTCTCCTCTGAGCCCCCACCCCAGGCCTGCCCTCTCTTCTCTGCGCCCCCACCCCAGACCTGCCCTCTCCCCTCTGCTCCCCCACCCCAGACCCGCCCTCTTTCCTCTGCCCCCCCAACCCCAGATCTGCCCTCTCCCCTCTGCCCCCCAACCCCAGATCTGCCCTCTCCCCTCTGCCCCCCCCCCCGCCAGACCTACCCTCTCCCCTCTGCCCCCCCCCCCCAGGAGCCGCCCCCTCTCCTCTGCCCCCCCCCCCCCCAGACCTGCCCTCTCTCCTCTGCCCCCCACCCCAGACCTGCCCTCTCCTCTTCCCCCACCCCCAGGCTCTGCGCTCTCTCCTCTGCCCCTCCCCCCCCACACCTGCCCGCTCCTCTACCCCCCCACCCCAGACCTCCACTCTCTCCTCCACCCCCCCCCCCCACCCTAGACCTGCCCTCTCTCTGCCTCCCCCCCACCCCGGACCTGCCCTCTCCTCTACCTATTTCCTCCCTCTCTCTCTTGCTCTCACACTTATTGTGTCTCTCTCTCTCATTTCTTTTGTTTAGCTTTCAATGCAACTAAAATATTTTGCGCTTCTGTTCATCAGTCTGTCGGCAGACGCATTAGCTTTTAATATACAGCTGGGATGAATGACTCCATTTATTCTGCAATTCAATTTGTCCTCAAAGTGCTAATTCATAAAACCAGCAGTAAATGGAACTGCGAGTGTTTGTGTCAGAGCCGCTTCCAATATCCCGAATTCAACATTCATGTTAATGCAAATAATTAGTAACGAAATAAAGTCATATATTAAGTGGTTCCATGGAGCTGGCAGCGCGCCCCGTTCACCGTTTCTGGAACCGCGCCAACAGCTCAACTCCATTGTTGGTTTGTACCTTCGTCCATCCAGGAATGATTATTCCGAAGAAGCAGCTCTGCCCTTCTATAGGAAGTAATGTCAGCAGACACCATATCATATATCCGCTCTCCCCGGACCCCTCATTCACTATATCCGCTCTCCCCGGACCCCGCATTCACTATATCCGCTCTCCCCGGACCCTGCATTCACTATATCCGCTCTCCCCGGACCCCTCATTCACTATATATCTGGTCTCCCCGGACCCTGCATTCACTATATCCGCTCTCCCCCGGACCCCGCATTCACTATATCCGCTCTCCCCGGACCCTGCATTCACTATATCCGCTCTCCCCGGACCCTGCATTCACTATATCCGCTCTCCCCTGACCCTGGTCTCCCCGCATTCACTATATCCGCTCTCCCCGGACCCCGCATTCACTATATCCGCTCTCCCCGGACCCCGCATTCACTATATCCGCTCTCCCCGGACCCCGCATTCACTATATCCGCTCTCCCCGGACCCCGCATTCACTATATCCGCTCTCCCCGGACCCCGCATTCACTATATCTGGCCTCCCCGGACCCTGCATTCACTATATCTGGTCTCCCCGGACCCTGCATTCACTATATCCGCTCTCCCCCCGGATATCTGCATTCACTATATATCCGGTCTCCCCGGACCCCGCATTCACTATATCCGCTCTCCCCGGACCCCGCATTCACTATATCCGCTCTCCCCGGACCCCGCATTCACTATATCCGCTCTCCCCGACCCCGCATTCACTATATCCGGTCTCCCAGGACCCCGCATTCACTATATCTGGTCTCCCCGGACCCTGCATTCACTATATCCGCTCTCCCCGGACCCCGCATTCACTATATCCACTCTCCCCAGCCCTGCATTCACTATATCCGCTCTCCCCGACCCCTGCATTCACTATATCTGCTCTCCCCGGACCCTGCATTCACTATATCTGGCCTCCCCAGCTCCTGCATTCACTATATCTGGTCTCCCCGGACCCTGCATTCACTATATCCGCTCTCCCCAGACCCCGCATTCACTATATCCGCTCTCCCCGGACCCCGCATTCACTATATCTGCTCTCCCCGGACCCCTGCATTCACTATATCCGTCTCCCCGGACCCTGCATTCACTATATCTGGTCTCCCCAGACCCCGCATTCACTATATCTGCTCTCCCCGGACCCTGCATTCACTATATCCGCTCTCCCCGGACCCCGCATTCACTATATCCGGTCTCCCCGGACCCCGCATTCACTATATTTGCTCTCCCCGGACCCTGCATTCACTATATCCGGTCTCCCACAGTACACACAACATAGAAATGCAATTATTTTAGTAAATATAAACTGCAAAATCCCTTTTCTCATCAGCAGTATATAGCAGTCTTGTGACTTCTATCAGTGTCCAGCAGAGCACTGGTTAATCTTGTAGGAGGAGTTTTCTTTCTGCTCTAGGAGGATGCAAAAGCCCTGACCTCTGTCTGGACAGTGCTCTTTGGCCCTGTGCTGATCACATGCACTCTCCCAAGAAAAAAAAAACCTCTAGCAATACACACCAAACTGAGCATGTGCATATAATTGCATAGTTAGTCTGGCTGAAGAAAGACAAAAGTCCATCCAGTTCAACCATTACAAAAAAAAAAAAAAAAAAAAACTACGGGTTTAGTCTGTCTTATCAGGAGACAAGACATGGACATTTGAACATGAGGAGAAGCAGAGAAGACAGGATCAAATGGCCTTTTTACACAATGCAGAGGATTAACCTCTTAGGTCCCACAGTGAGTATAACAAGCATGCGTCACTGCATCTACAGACTGATTTTAACAGTTTAAGTACTGGGGCCAGGACTATGTAATGTACAACATAGTGTATCAGGAGATATCCCATCATTGGTATCAATGGGAGAAATAGTGCCCCATCATTGGTGTCAGTGGGAGGAATGGTGCCCTATCATTGGTATCAGTGGGAGGAATAGTACCCCATCATTGGTGTCAGTGGGAGGAATAGTGCCCCATCATTGGTGGGAGGAATAGTGCCCCATCATTGGTGTCAGTGGGAGGAATAGTGCCCCATCATTGGTGTCAGTGGGAGGAATAGTGCCCATCATTGGTGTCAGTGGGAGGAATAGTGCCCCATCATTGGTGTCAGTGGGAGAATAGTGTCCCATCATTGGTGTCAGTGGGAGGTGTCCCATCATTGGTGTCAGTGGGAGGAATAGTGCCCCATCATTGGTGTCAGTGGGAGGAATAGTGTCCCCATCATTGGTATCAGTGGGAAGGAATAGTGCCCCATCATTGGTGTCAGTGGGAGGAATAGTGCCCCATCATTGGTGTCAGTGGGAGGAATAGTGCCCCATCATTGGTGTCAGTGGGAGGAATAGTGCCCCATCATTGGTGTCAGTGGGGAATAGCGGAATGGGAGTGCGCCCCATCATTGGTGTCAGTGGGAGGAATAGTGCCCCATCATTGGTGTCAGTGGGAGGAATAGTGCCCCATCTTTGGTATCAGTGGGAGGAATAGCGCCCCATCATTGGTGTCAGTGGGAGGAATAGTGCCCCATCATTGGTATCAGTGGGTGGAATAGTGCCTCATCATTGGTGTCAGTGGGAGGAATAGTGCCCATCCTTGGTGTCAGTGGGAGGAATAGTGCCCCATCATTGGTGTCAGTGGGAGGAATAGTGCCCCATCATTGGTATCAGTGGGAGGAATAGTGCCCCATCACTGGTATCAGTGGGAGGAATAGTGCCCCATCATTGGTGTCAGTGGGAGGAATAGTGCCCCATCATTGGTATCAGTCAGGTGTCAGGGGAGGAATAGTGCCCCATCCCCAGTGGGAGGAATAGAGCCCCCATTTGGTGTCAGTGGGAGGAATAGTGCCCCATCATTGGTGTCAGTGGCCCCATCATTGGTGTCGGGGAAATAGTGCCCCATCATTGGTGTCAGTGGGAGGAATAGTGCCCCATCATTGGTAGTCAGTGGGAGGAATAGTGCCCATCATTGGTGTCAGTGGGAGGAATAGGATCATCAGTGGGAGGAATAGTGCCCCATCATTGGTGTCAGTGGGAGGAATAGTGCCCCATCATTGGTATCAGTGGGAGGAATAGCGCCCATCATTGTGTATCAGTGGGAGGAATAGTGCCCCATCATTGGTGTCAGTGGGAGGAATAGTGCCCCATCATTGGTGGGAGGAATAGTGCCCCATCATCAGTGGGAGGAATAGTGCCCCATCATTGGTAGTCATTAGTGCCCCATCATTGTCTGGGGGGAATCTATTGAATAGTGCCCCCCCATCATTGGTGTCAGTGGGGGAGGAATCAGGAATAGTGCCCCCATCATTGGTGTCGTGGGGAGGAACAGTTCAGTGGGGGGGGGGGAGGAATAGTGGGAGGAATAGCCCCCATCAGTGGGAGGAATAATCCCCATCATTGGTATCAGTGGGAGGAGAAATGTGCCCCAGGTGTCGCAGTGGGAGGAATAGTGCCCCATCATTGGTGTCAGTGGGAGGAATAGTGCCCCATCATTGGTATTAGTGGGAGGAAATAGTGCCCCATCATTGATGTCAGTTGTGCCCCATCATTGTGTCAGTGGGAGGAATAGTGCCCCATCATTGGTGTCAGTGGGAGGAATAGTGCCCCATCATTGGTGTCAGTGGGAGGAATAGTGCCCCATCATAGTGCCCCAATAGTGCCCCATCATCATTGGTGTCAGTGGGAGGAATAGTGCCCCATCATTGGTGTCAGTGGGAGGATAGTGCCCCATCATTGGTGTCAGTGGGAGGAATAGTGCCCCATCATTGGTGTCAGTGGGAGGAATAGTGCATTGAGGAATAGTGTCATTGTGTCAGTGGGAGGAATAGTGCCCCATCATTGGTGTCAGTGGGAGGAATAGTGCCCCATCATTGGTGTCAGTGGGAGGAATAGTGTCATTGGGGTGTCAGTGGGAGGAATAGTGCCCCGTCATTGGTGTCAGTGGGAGGAATAGTGCCCCGCCATTGTCATTGGGAGAATGTCAGTGGGAGGAATATCAGTGCCCCATCATTGGTGTCAGTGGGAGAATAGTGCCATTAGTGTCATGGTAGTGCCCTGTCATTGGGGAGAAATAGTGCCCCGCCATTGGTGTCAGTAGTGCCCCATCATTTTGTCAGTGGGAGGAATAGTGTGCCCCATCATTGGTGTCAGTGGGATGCCCCATCATTGGTGTCAGTGGGAGGAATAGTGCCCCATCATTGGTGTCAGTGGGGTGTCAGTGGGAGGAATAGTGCCCCATCATTGGTGTCAGTGGGAGGAATAGTGCCCCGCCATTGGTGTCAGTGGGAGGAATAGTGCCCCATCATTGGTGTCAGTGGGAGGAATAGTGCCCCATCATTGGTGTCAGTGGGAGGAATAGTGCCCCATCATTGGTGTCAGTCCCCGCCATTGGTGTCAGTGGGAAATAGTGCCCCATCATCATTGGTGTCAGTGAGGAATTATCATTTCATTGGTGTCAGTGGAAATAGTGCCCCGTCATTGGTGTCAGTGGCTTATTTCCCACTGTTCGTGTCAGCAGGAGAAATACTGTCTTGTATCAAAGGAAGGAATACTGCCCCAAAGGACCGGATAAAGACTGGCAAAGGGCCGCATTTGCTCACAGGCCCCAGTTTGGAGACCACTGCTCTATAATGTCCTTGTATGCCAATGTTCGTCAATGGCGATCGCATTGCTATGTATTTGATTGCCAGTCGACTTTTCAGTCTGCATCTGGAACACTTCCAGAACTGAACTCCAGGGATCAGCAGCGAGCTATTTACTGGTTCCACATTGAAGAGTTATTTTTCTGCTTTGCAGCCGGCAGGGAATATTTTTCTACTTTTTACAACTTCGGATTTTATCTTCTTTCCTTGTCAACTACAAAGAGCTCAGCTGTAAGCTGCAGTTTTTAGTGGCTGTAAATATTCACTGAAGTTGGCAGATAATCTTTTTTCTTTGGATTGTGAAGAGCTTCAATAAATATTTTCAAGTTATGCGCAGACGAGCTCCTCTGCTGGCCGTATTCACACACACGGGGGAAATTGTCCGCCGGGTTCCACCAATTCCAGACGACTTTAAAGGCAAATTATCTCAAGCCGATGAGCAACCTACCGCCATAAGCATGTTAGTACAGGTTACCTTTCATCTGTCCAGTTGTGGTTTCAATGAAAAGTTGGTTGAAGTCGTCTCATTTACAGCTCAATTTTGGTCTCATCTGACCACAACACTTCCCACCAGTCCTCCTCTGCATCATTCAGATGTTCAGTGGCAGACTTCAGACGGGCCTGGACATGTGCTTTCTTGAGCAGAGGGACCTTGCGGGCACTGCAGGATTTCAGTCCTTGTCGGCGTAGTGTGTTACCAATTGTTTTCTTGGTGACTGTGGTCCCAGCTGC